CAAGCTCCTGCTTTTTGCCTAATGCTTGTTTGTCTGCAGCAGTTTAACATATACCACCTTAACTCAGTCGTCCTATCCCAAATTTAACTCTTTGGCTTCTTCCCACCCTGGAGAAGCTTTTCCTGCTTTTTGAGTTATTAACAGCAGCCTGGTTCCCACAATCATTTCTGTCTCTATATTCCGCCAGAAATCCCTCCTCTGCTGGCAGTGGTAACCAAGGCCTGGTGAATTACTTTTGAATCCACACCTTCTGTCTGCTCTTTGTTGCTGTCAAGACCCAGGGCACCTGGCCTGCTCTCTTGCTTGGACTTAGTTATAGGAGGTACCTGTAGATCTCCTGTGTCCCTCTCTCTGATACATTCTATATCCTTTTGGCATGTATTTCTCAAATATTGTTACTCCTGTGGTTTATTGTAGCTGGATTTGCATGGTCCAAGCTTGGGCCTTAGCCTACCTTTATAGAGTAGTTCTTTTTCTGTTGTTCAAAAAATCATGCCTTTTCCCTAAGTGAGACAACTAACAAGGAGCTAATTACACTGGATATTGCATTTTCTACATGAACTTTGTGTTTTTATTAACAAGACTTTCTTTCCTCCAACCCTCTACTTGGCAGCCTTTCCTATGGTATCTGGTTTTAAAATTTCTCCTTCAAGGCCTAAATCTAGACCAGAGTGAATTTCTTTCTCATTTTTATTTCTGCCTAGCACTTCATATATGCAGGCCTTGATATCTATCACAGCACTTAATACATTTGTGTGTGTGTATGTGTGTGTGTGTGTGTGTTGTGTGTATCAGTCCATTTGTATGTTAGATTGAATTCCTAGAGGGCATTTCATGTTTATCTTACCTTTACCATTAGAATAGTGCTGGCAGATAAGCATTGGTTAAGTTTGTAGAAATTGTCTTTTTTTCTCTTTTTTTGAGAGGTTTTTGTCTTAAGGCACATATGCTCGCAGGAGAGAGACAGAGACTGGGAGAAGGAAAGTGAGAAATCACTCCCCAGGAGGGATGGCCACACTGCAATCTCTTCTTTTCCATTCTCCTCTCAGGATCTTGGGCACGCACACACACGGGCCTGGCATGATTTTCAAGCCACCGGGTTAGGGACTCAAACCTCGGTCGGCCATGTGGGAGTCTAGCGACGTAACTGCTATGCCATCTGCTGGCACCAGAATTGTCATTTTTAGGGCTGGCTCTGTGTCCTGGTGGTTAAGGCAGCTGGATCTCACATGACTGATTGTATGGTTCAAATCCCAGAGTGCCCAAATTCCTGAAAAGAGGAGAGATTGGGAAAAAGGGATTGTAGCATGGTCATGCCCCATGGAGAGTGTTTTTTCCTCTTCTTTGCTTTGTGTCTTCTCTGGCAAGTGCGTGTGCCTCTAGCAACAACGACAAAAAAAAAAAAAAAAAAGAGGAAAGAACAATATGTGAACATTTCTCCCCAGTCCAGTTGATCAAAATATCTTCAACAGATTACACCACCCTCCCCGTCCCGTCAATGCTCTGCCTCTGTATCCCTCCTCCAAATGTCCTTCCCTAGGCCCCTCTCCTCCACACTCATCACATCTGACATTCACACCCATTTTGTGTTTGTGTATCTTTTAGTCAATCAGTTTTGGTCGTAGAGTGCAGATACTTGGTATATATTAAGTGGGGACATACAGTGTCTCTCCTTCATAGCCTGACTTATTTCACTCAGCAGTAAATCTTCCATATTCTTCCACTTTCTGTCGAAAGTCAGGGTTTTGTTGTTTTTTTTATGGCTGAATAGTATTCCATAGAGTATATGTGCCACAGTTTTTCAACCCATTCATCCATATGGGGGCATTTGGGTTGGTTCCATGTCTTAGCAATCGTGAATAGTGCTGCAATAAATATCGATGTACAAGCACTTTTCCAATGAAGAATTCTTCTGTCCTTTGGGTAGATACTGAGGAGTAGGATTTCTGGATCATATGGTAGATCTATTTGTAGATTTTTGAGGAATCTCCAAATTGTTCTCCACAGTGGCTGGACCAATTTACATTCCCACGGCAGTGTAAAAGAGTTCCCCTTTTACTACCTCCCTCAACACTTAACATTTTTTGTTTTTTTAATCTTAGACATTCTGACTGGGGTTAGGTGGTACCTCATTGTTGTTTTGATCTGCATTTCCCTTACAATGAGGGATGTTGAACATTTTTTCATATGCCTTTTGGCTATTCGTATGTCATCTTTAGAGTGTTTTTTTTTTTTTTTTCAACTCCTTCTCCCATCTTTTAATAGGATTGATCACCTTTTTTCCAAACAGCTTCTTTAGTAAGAGTTCCTTGTTAACAGATTGTTGGTTGCTTGAGTCCCTTTAGCTCTGAGTGGTACAGGGAAAAACAAAAACTGCCATAACATGAAAATTTTTATTAGTGAACCGACAACTTAAAAACTTTGTCTGGGGGGACCAGCAGGTAGCGTGGTGGTCAAGGTGCTGGACACTACCACATGGCTGACCATGGTTTGAGTCTCGGACCTGTTGGCTTTCTCACTTTCTGTGTGTGTGTCTCTCTCTCTGGTCAAATTTTTAAAAATAAATGAATGGATAGATAAAATTTTTAAAAAATTTGTATAAATTAAAAAAAAAATTTTGTCTGGGGCTAGCAGGTGGTGTGGTGGTTAAGGGCACTGGATTCCCCTGGCTGACCACGGTTTGAGTCCCAAATCTGGAAGCTTGCTTTCTCACTTTCCTCCTCTTTTTTTCCTCTCTCTCTCACTCTATCCCTCTCTGGTCAAATGAAAATAAATGAACAAACAAACAAATAGATAAGTAAAATTAAACAAAATATATTTTTTTCTTTTGTAGAGTTTTTTTTTTTTTTTTTTTTTTGCTATAGGACATGTGCGCTTGCTGGAGAGACAGAGAGAAACGCAAAGACAAAAAGCGAGAAATCACCTCCCAGAGGGGATGGCCACACCACAGTCCTTTCTCCGGTCTCCTCTTGGGATTTTGGTCGTGCATGCACACGCACATGGCATGAATTTTAAGTCGCCAGGTCTGGAACTTAAAGTGCAGTTGACTACTTGAAAGTCTAGCAAAATAACCATTATACCATCTGTTGATCCCAATGCAAAAATTCTTTTTTGGGGGAGAGGTTTTTGTTATAGGGTGTGTGCGCTTGCCAGACAGACGGAGAGAGACAGAGAGACAGAAAGTGAGAAATCACCCTCCGGGGAGGATGGCCATGCCACAATCCCTTTTCCTCCATTCTCCTCTCGGGATCTTGGGCACGCATGCACATATGCCTGGCATGAGTTTTAAGCCACCAGGTCTAGGACTCGAACCGCAGTCGACTACATGAGAGTCCAGTGACATAGCCATTATGCTAACTCCTGGTCCCTAAAATAATTCTTAAAAAAAAAGAAAAACAGGGAGTCAGTGAGTGGCATGGTGGTTAAGGCGCTGTACATTCCCACATGGCTGACCATGGTTCGAGTCCTGGACCTGGTGGCTTGCTTTCTCACTTTCCCTTTCTCTCTGTGTGTGTGTCTCTGTGCTCAAATTTTTAAAAATGATAATAACAAATGGAATTAAATACATAAATATTCTTAAAAAATAACCAAAACCAAAATAAAACTGTCTATGTCCAGACATCACAGATTAACACTACATTGAGTTTCTGGTATTGGATCAAGGCATTCTCATTGCTGGTTAATAATAAGACAGTTAGGAACCAGCAGATGGGATAATGGTTACGTTGCTGGACACCCATGTAGTTGACTGCAGTTCACGTCCCAGAACCGGCAACATACAACTCATGCCAGTGTATATGCATGTATGCCCAAAATCTCAAGAGGAGAGTGGAGGAAAAGGTTTTGCAGCATGGCTATCCTTTTTTTTCGGGGGTGGGGGTTATTTCTCACTTTCTGTCTCCTCGTCTCTCTAGCGAGCACACTTGCCCTATAGCAAAAATCTCTCTTTTTTTTTTTTTTGGAGGAGAGGTTTTTGCTATAGGACGCGTGCACTCGCCAGACAGACAGAGAGAGACAGAGAGACAGAAAGCGAGAAATCACCTCCCAGAGGGGATGGCCACGCTGCAATCCCTTCTCCTCCATTCTCCTCTCGGGATCTTGGGCATACATGCATATACACTGGCATGAGTTGTATGTTGCCGGTTCTGGGACGTGAACCGTGGTCGACTACGTGGGAGCCCAGCGACATAGCAATTATGCTAACTGCTGATCCCAAAAATCTCTCTTAAAAAAAAACAAAAAGGGACTGGAAAGTGGCTTGATGGTTAAGGGTGCTGGACTCCCACATGGCTGACTGTGGTTTGAGTCCTGGACCTGGTGGCTTGCTTTCTCTTTCATTCTGTCCCTCTCTGGTCAAATTAAAATAGGTAAATAAACAAAAATAAAGTTAAATAATTCTTTTAAAAAATAAAAATAAATAAGAATAGTAAAATGAAGTTGCAAATCTTGCAAAAGATAAGATTTCATGAAGTTTAATGAGAGAAATGTTTGAGAACTGTTAAAAAGTTTTACACATTGGGGCCAGCATGGAGGTTATAACACTGGATCCCACATGGTCAACTGTATGGCTCAAGTTATGGCCCTGGAAGCTTGGAAAACATGTTGGAGGTGTGTGTGTATGTGTGCCCACAATCTCAAGAGGAGACTAAGGAGAAGGGATTGTGGCGTGGCCATCCCACCAGGGAATGATTTCTCTCTTTCTCTGTCTCTGTTTCTCCCTAGTAAGTGCATGCATCCTATCACAAAAAAAAACACAAAAAAACAAAAAATTACATCTGTTGCTACTTTACAGTTATATTCCACAGATAGACACACTAACAATGGAAAGAAATTTGAGGAGGAGAGTGATACCTTACACCCTGCAAAATAAAATAATTTATCTTAGTCTCTTGTTGTTTTGCTTACGTAAAGATCTAAGAAATTGAGGAGAATAGAGGTTTATTTGCAAAACTCATGATTCTGGTGACTAGGAAGTCCAAAAGCCTAGGGAAGTGTACAACATGGCTAACAGAAGCAAAGATGGCGGTATGTGCACAGAGGGAGCAAGCTTTGGGCAGCTCCTTTTTTACTAACACCTGCTTAGAAGGACTCGCACTCACTAGGTGTGATGTGACATCATTCATGCAAACACAGAGTGTTGATTCCATGAGGCAATCACCACGATCCAAATTGCTGCCCACTAGGCTTTACCAGATTCTAAAACATGAAACATTGGGGGGGTGGTGGGACAAAGCATTTTTCAAACCATAGCATCATTTAAATACGAAACAATGGAGAAAAGCCCTTGAGAAGACTGGCAAAATTCTCAAATATTTTTGTAAAAATATGCAGTAAAAGTCAAATAGGGAGTGAATTCTGTCCTGGGTGCCATTATAAAGTTTTTCAAGAGGAGCTAGCCAGTGGCGTAGTGTTAAAAGCACTGGACTGCCACATATCTGATTATTGTTCAAGTCCCAGGCCCAGCAGCTTGAAAATCATGCTGGGCATTTGCGTGCATGCCCAAGATTCCAGGAGGGGAATTGAAGAGTTGGGATTGTGGTGTGGCCATCCCCCCTGGAGGGTGACTTCTTTTTCTTTTTTTTGGAGAGGCATTTTTGCTATAGGGCGCATGTGCTAGCCAGAAAGACAGAGAGAGACAGAGAGATAGAAAGCGAGAAATCACCCCCCGGTAGGATGGCCATGCTGCAGTCCCTTCTTTTCCATTCTCCTCTTGGGATCTTGGGCCTGCATGCACACGCACCCCGTGTGAGTTTAAGCCACCGGGTCCGGGACACGAACCGCGGTCGGCTACGTGGGAGTCCAGCGACATAGCCATTACGCTAACTGCTGGTCCCTGGAGGGTGATTTCTCACTTTTCCTCTCACCATCTCTTGTCTGTGAGCACATGTGCCCTATGGCAAATGCCAAAGCCTTAAAAAAAAATGCCAAAGCCCTCGATTTGATTTGCTTTTTATTTTAAATATAAGTACATAGTTTTATATAACCTAAATTATGTTTCATATAAGAACAGAAATAATTTTCAGGACCAGCAGTTGGCATAATGGCTATGTTGCTGGACTCCCATGTAGTTGACCACGATTCGAATTCAGAACCTGGTGGCTTAAACTCACACCAGGCACGTTGCATGTGTGCCCAAGATCCCAAGAGGAGAATGGAGACAGAAATAATTTTGTTTCATTTTTTAAAAAGAGTTGTTTATTTTATTTATTTTTAATTTTTTTAAAAAAGTTATTTAATTCTATTTATAAAAATTATTTTATTTAACTTTATTTATTTTAATTTGAACAGAGAAGGACAGAGTAAGAGAGAGAGAGAAAGAGGGAAAGTGAGAAAGCAAGCAGCCAAGTCCGGGACTTGAACTACAGTTGGCCATGTGGGAGTCCAGTGCCCTTAACCACCATGCCACCTGTCATGTCAGCCCCTATTTTATTTTTTATTATTACTATTTTTTTCTTTTAATGCAACAAAGGGAAGTGAAAGACAAAGGGAAAGTGATAAAAGAAGCCACCAGCTCCAAGACTCTAACTGTAGTCGACCATGTGTGATTCTAGTGCTTTAACCACCACACCACCTGCTGGCCCCATTAGTTTCTTTCTTTCCTTCTTTCTTTTTAAATTTCCCAATCTTTTTTTTTTTTTTAGATTTTATTATTACTATTTAAATTTTTCTATAGGACGTGTGCACTCACCAGAGAGAGACAGAGAGAGAGAGGGAAAGTGAGAAAGCAAGCCACCAGGTGCAGCATTCGAACTGTAGTCCTCCATGTGGGAATCCGGAGCCTTAACCACCATGCTACCTGATGACCCCAAGTTTCACTTATGCTTTGTTTTTATTATTCATTATGAGAATTTCCTTGGGTGACTTTCTTTTTTTCTTCCTTTTTAAATTAATCTATTTTTTTAGTGCAATTTCAGGTTCACAACAAAATTGAGCAGAAAGTACGGTTCCCCATACCCTTGCCTTCACATATGCATAGCCTCCTTCATTATCAAGCTACCCCCAGAATGTAATTGTACTTGTTACCATTGATGAACCTTCAGTGTCACATCATTTTCATCTAGAGTTCATAATTTACTTTTTGAGGGGTGTAGTGGCATCCGCCCTATGGGATAATTTACATTTGGATTTACTCTTGGTGTTGTATGTTCTATGGGTTTGACTACTGAACAATGACATGCATCATTGTGGTAGCATACAGACTAGTTTTGGTGCCCCCAAAATCTGAGGCCAGCAGGTGACGTGGAGGTTAAGACGCTGGATCCCACATGGCTGGCTGTGCTGTTCAAGTCCCAGACCTGGTCACGCTGGGCATGCATGTGTGTGCATGCCCAACATCCTGAGAGGAGAATGGAGGAGAAAGGATTGTGGTGTGGCCATCTGTCTAGGGAGGAGATCACTTTCCCTCTCTTTCTGTTTCTGTTTCTGTCTGGTGAGTATGGGTACCCTATAGCAGAACTTTGAAAAAAAAAAAAAAAAAAGAAAAGAAAAAAATGAAATCCTCTGTACTGTCCATTCATCTCTTCTTTCCTCCTAACTGCTACTAACCACTTTTACTATCTCCATAGATTTGCTTTTTCCAGAATGTCTTATAATTAGACTTGTATCTAGTATGTAGCCTTTTCAGATGGGTCTCTTTCACTCAGCAATATGCATTTAAGTTTTCTCTGTGGCTTGATGGTTCAAATTAAAAAAAAAAAAAAAAAAA